CATTCTCCACCCTTGCCCTGTTCTTCTCATGCTCAGTGCTCCCTTCTGCCTTGGTCTTTGCCTCTTCCCCTCTCCTATATGAGCCTTGTGAGGATACCTGAGATGCTAGCCAGGAAGAAGATGAGGAAGTGGACAGAAGAGCTCCTTGGGAGTGGGAGACTTGCAGTCACTGGCTGTGGCCCCCGCGGCAGGGGGCAGGGCCATGCTCAGAAGAAGCCTCAGGCTTGCCCTCAGGAGCAAAGACTGGACCCACGGAGCAGGACCTCCTTGCCTCCCTCCCTGGAGGCCGCTGTCTCTGTCATGTCCCCGGAGCTGGCTCTGGGACTTGGCCACGGCCCTGCACATCTCAGTTCGACACATCTTTCCGGAGACTTTTTTCTTTTGCAAGGACACTGAGAATCTTGGCCAGAGATTAGTTCCTGAGACGGGAGCCTAGCACATGCAGGCTCGCCGAAAGAAAGAATTCACTGGCCATGTGAAATGATGGTCGAATGAATCAGCATCATCGTGACTCCGCGAATGACTGGGGCCTGGCCTCCCAAGGGGCCCGCAGGGAAGAGGGCTCAGCCACAGGGTTTTGGCATGGGTCACCCCCCTCCCGTGCCGAAGGATGGCGGGAATGGTGGTCTGCGCATCGATCTGTCTGCTAGTCAGTGTGCCTCTCTGTCCCATAAAGCTGGGTTCTGGAGAGCACCTCTCTCATTCGATTAAGCTGCTGATGGATCAGTCGTCCCCTGCCCCAGAAACTCTGCCCCCTTCACTTAGTAACAGGCTTTTTTTGTAGAAAAAGCCCAGCAGGAACTCATTAGCATAATAGGCCATACCCAACAGCAGGAACTCATTAGCATATTAGGCCACACCCTGACAGCACAGCTCATTCACATATTAGGCCACACCCCCATGTTACCAGAAGTGTGGTCATCCAACCACACCCACCTTTTGCTTCTTATTCTCTTTACCTTGTTTGTTGTCAAAACCCAGGGCTTTTTGCATGTTAGGCCACACACCCCTAATTGTAGCCAATCCGAATGAGTTTCTGCTGTTGGGTGTGTCCTATTATGCTAATGAGTTCCTGCTGGGCGTGGCCAACTTGGGAGCCAGCCGGAATTCCGTTCCTGTGTGTTCCTGCCCAAAAATAGCCCTGGTCAAGGATCCTAAGATCACTCTGTGTTGGGTATTACAAGTTAAAAACACTTCAGTATTTACAGGGTTAATGATGTTTGTTAAGTCACATGTTTCTCATGTAACCAATGTTCTTTAGATGTAGCAAGCCCGGGAATTTTCTCCCTGATCTAGGGATTTGATTGGGACTAAAGTGTCAAGGTGCATTACCATTTTATGGCTTCTCCTCCTGTTCTTTGTTCTGACTGGAGAAGGAGACGCCATTCGGCTCTTCCCCTTTTACCTTTTAGCTGCAAGGATGTAGGCATATTAGCTCTTTGTTATTTTCATATCCTGTGTACCTTTTCCCCATGTTAGGTTTATAGTAAGTTTTTATATTTTAATACACACCATGGACTCAGTCTCTTAATACTCTGCTGACTTACTCAATAAGAATCCCAGCACTCTGGCACTAGCAGCATTCATTCAGTCCTTTTAGCCTTCACCCCCCCCCCCCAAAAAAGAGGGATAAAAATCTGCTGCTGCTGCTCAAGATTCGTTAACCAACAAGCTTCTAAGGGAAGAAAGGAGAAGGAGAGCATCTCTCGACATTTTCCTCTCTGTAGAGGGAGGAAGGGCCGTTACACATGCGCAAGTGCACACAGCACACCAACAAGGAAACAAAATAAATCCTGGGGTGAAGGAAGCCCAACTCTTACTCCACTCGTGCTCTGCTGAAACAAAATTTACTGTCGGCCTCTTTGGTGCACATCATGCACAGCCAAGATGTTAAGATATTCTGCAGGAAACCTCCACTCCCAAGAGCCGGTGATGCCCGCCCAGAAGGACGGAGACGAGACGTCTCTTCCTGCCTCCGCTGGCCCTGGCCAAGGTGGCAAATGGACTCCGCAGAAGCAGACAAGGATGCTCCCAGTACAGGTGGCCATTTCAGGCACCGGCCGCCTGTGCAGCATCCTTTGTGCGCGCCTCGCCACGGGAGGGGCCGGCCCATTGGACAGGCAGCCCAGGACAGCGCTCAGGCTCCACCGCCGCCACTCCCGGGCAAGGGACCCCTGCTGGGAATGTGGGCCAGACTCTTGGCCAGGTGTCCAGCCAGCCAGCCAGGCCTCCTGGGGTCCCCCCTCCAGGGCCCTCAGCGCCTCCGCGGGACGGGGGGCCTGTCAAGGAACAAGCGCTGCTCGGCCTCCGGTCGGAGATCGGCCGCCGCCTCGCCCCTGCCGCGCCCCTCCCTCTCTCGGGCCCTTCTGACCGGGGCGGAGGCGAAGCTAGACGGCGGGGGCCGGGGCCGGCCCTTCCCCGCACCTTTCAGGGCCCCGGTCTCCAACCAACC